TCCCTCCCGTCTGTTTCCTCCCCCACTGGTTTCCTTCCCGCTCTATCTTTCTGCATCTATTCAGTTTTGAACATCTTTTTCCAATTTCCTCCCTGTTTTCTTCTCTCTCTCTCTCTCTCTCTCTCCCTCTCTCTCTCCTGTCTCTTGAGGAGGTCTCTCAGTCTTCTCCACATCCTGTCGTTCACTCTTGATTGTTTTCTCTCTGACTTCACTGTCGTCTATGGTCACGACTACAGTGAAACAACAGCGTTCACAACCATCATCTAACGGAACAAACACTGTCAACACGCACGGACACAGTCAAAAAGTTCTAAGACATTAGGAGCGACTACTACTACTACTTCTTCTTCCTCTTCTTCCTCTTCCTCTTCTTCTTCTTCCTCTTCTTCTCCTTCCTCTTCTTCTTCTTCTTTTTCCTCTTCTTCTTCTTCTTTTTCCTCTTCTTCTTCTTCTTCTTTTTCCTCTTCTTCTTCTTCTTCATCTTCTTCTTCTTCCTCTTCTTCTCCTTCCTCTTCTTCTTCTTCATGTTCTTCTTCTTCTTCTTTCTCTTCTTCTTTTTCTTTTTCTTTTTCTTCTTCCTCTTCTTCTTCTTTTTCTTCTTCTTCTTTTTCTTCTTCTTCATCTTCTTTTTCTTCTTCTTCTTCTTTTTGTTCTTCTTCTTCTTCTTCTTTTTCCTCTTCTTCTTCTTCTTCTTCTCCTTCTTCTTCTTCCTCTTCTTTCTCTTCTTCTTCTTCTTTTTCCTCTTCTTCTTCTTCTTCCTCCTCTTCTTTTTCTTCTTCTTCTTCTTCTTCTTCTGATTAATAACATATCAGGTTAGTATTTTCACATTTTGGCTAACTCTTAGCTCGGGGCTAGGGGATACTCTTATCCTGTTTCTTTTCTGTACTGCAAACTGTATTATACAAAGATAGCTACAAATATTTTCGGACAAAAAAACATGCTAGTATTTCTACCTTATATACAGTATTTTTAAACTTTTAACAAATTCTTGTCCAAAGTAAAATTCTTATCTCACTGTTAGTTACAGTGACAAACGTTTGGACTCTCAAAGTCATACTTAGCTACGGCTAACGTGGAGCGTTTTTTTGGATCATTTTGTCTTAAAGTAAAAAGAGCTACAAATGACTCAACTTTATATGAACTATTGAAAAACAAACAAACAAACAAACAAAAACATGCTTTTTCTGTCCCAGGAAGGTATCAGAGAAATACAGAACAACAACAACGGTGTTTGGACACATGTCTTCACAGACATGGACTCGTCTGTTAGAGAGAGACAACTGACGCTGCAGAGGCCGAATTCCTCAGGACAAATGCTGCCTGCCACACACACACACACACACACACACACACACTGATGAAGAAAACAGGTGACATCAGAGCGGACACAGCAGCCATGGTTCCAGCAGGTGGCACTGCTCGTCTGCTCTGACTGTTTCTGCCATTTGTTGATTCTTTTTTCAGTAACGTTGGTTTACAGGTGAACAAGGAGCAGAGCTAAGACCACGGCCCTTCTGGGATGGACTTTACAGCCAACAGAGCTATGAACTGTAGCATCTGTTAGCATGTGTTCAGCCAATGGTATGTGTTGGCGCTCCACACTGTCTGATGATGTCATCACAGAGAACACAGAGCACAGAGGACCCCACCAGGAGCCAACACCATCAGGTGTAAACGTCGACACGATACCACACAATATTATTCACACATTAACATTAAATATAAAAACAAATATGTTTCCAATTGACTGATCAACCATAAAACCCTGCGCCCCCTGCTGGATGGTGACAGTCTATCAATATCACGTGTTCCTGTCCAGTCTCATCATACTGTGGTGGTTACGTTTCCTTTGCCCTTCACTGTAACAGTGTTGGAGCCACGCTGACGCTAACTGTCCTGATGCTAACTGTCCTGATGCTAACTGTCCTGATGCTCACTGTCCTGACGCTAACGGTCCTGACGCTAACTGTCCTGATGCTCACTGTCCTGACGCTAACGGTCCTGACGCTAACTGTCCTGATGCTCACTGTCCTGACGCTAACTGTCCTGCCGCTAACTGTCCCGATGCTAACTGTCCTGATTCTAACTGTCCTGACGGCAGTCAAATGTCTTCCTACTTACAGCCTGGTGGGGGCGTCTGTGTCCATCAGCTCCTGAGCGGATGTTTTCTACAACTAATGACTTGTTCGTGTGTGCGTGTGTGCATGTGTGCGTGCGAGCCCATGTTGGTATGATCTTTTCACCTAAATGAAGTTGAAGCCAGATTCTGGCTGGAGTTTTCCCATCAGACTTCATGTGAACGGGTTAGGGTGGGGGTGGTCCTCAGCCTGGGGATTCATGTGAATGGAACAGAGCGGCCCACATGTGGACACAGGCTTCATCTGTCTGCCGGAGCGCATGCAAGCTTTTTTTTTTTCTTTCCTCTCTGAACCTCATCGTGTCCTTCTGAGAAGAAATCATCCGTGGCCGTTTTTACAGCATCCTGAGAAGACCAAGTGGAGAGGAGGTCGTCGCCATCTGGTCGGCAGATGGGAAAAAGCTGCAGTTGGACTGAGTCGATGGTGAAACTGGTTCAAAGCTCCCTGAAGACGAGGAGAACAATCAGAGCTCAGTGGCAGCTTCGACACACAGCAGAGCGGTGTCTGAGGCTAACGCTAACGCTAACGCTGTTCAGAACTAGTCACTGCCTCAGAGAAGAAAAGAAACACTGGTGTCCAATGTCCGTGTCACTATTAGAATGACCTCACTTCCTGTCTGACCTGAAAACAGACTACAGCCTGAGTCCAGACCTACGTCCCAGTCCAGGGGTTCAGACCTACGTCCCAGTCCAGGGGCTCAGACCTACGTCCCAGTCCAGGGGTTCAGACCTACGTCCCAGTCCAGGGGTTCAGATCTACGTCCCAGTCCAGGGGTTCAGACCTACGTCCCAGTCCAGGGGTTCAGATCTACGTCCCAGTCCAGGGGTTCTGATCAGTTATCCTCCTCCTTCATTGGCTCCTTGGTTTTCCTGCTCATCCATACAACATTCCCTGATGTGGAGAGGTCTGCAGGCGGTAACGTGTGGGAGGTTTAGGTCAGGTTTCCCATCAGCAGATAATGAACCGCACCCAGAACACTGTGTTCTGCTGCTGAGACAGATGAGATGACACAGAACCCTGAGGACCAAACAGAACCCTGGTCCGTCTGCCCCAGGTCCAGTTGGACCAGTGAGCTGGGGGTCGACTGGTGTAACCAACCACGGAGGAACACCAGGTTGACCAGACTGGTCATCACTGTCTTACTCTTTATACTGCAGTATTTACCAGTAAGCCACATATTTAAGACAAGTACACAGTAGTACGCAGTAGACTGGAGCAGTAGTACGCAGTAGTACGCAGTAGTACACAGTAGTACACAGTAGTACACAGT